TGGACTTCACTTTGTGGTCCCATTACTTAAGGTTGGCTCTGCATCTCATGGTCCCAGAACACAGTCTGTTCAGTGCCTTCCCAGTTTTCTGTGTGCCCAGGAGGGAGTCTCTCATTTGGTATCAGCCATTGATTGAGGTTCTGGGTTTTAGCCTGCCACTTTTGGACTCTCACTTGCTGAGGTGTTCCTGTCAGCATCTCTGTATACCTTAGAAAGCTATTTCTTGATTTAAAGCATTGGCATGCTGGCTGATATCCGAACAGGGGATGGGCCGGAGATGTCACTGTCTTCATCCTTTTACTATTGGTTGCTACTTCCTGGCGGATGTCAGGTGGTGCAATATCGGCTAAACAGGGTAATTTCTCCAGTAGTGTAGAGTGCAGACACCCCGTAATAATGCGGCATGTCTCATTAAGAGCCACATCCACTGTTTTTGCGCGGGCATGAATACTCAGCAGCAGAGTAGCAAAGCTCAAGGGCAGATGTCTTCACTGTATCTGGTTGTGATCCCCAGGGTGGGCAGATGTTTACATAGGAAATCCTGAAGCCAGTTTGAGGAAGGCGATGACACAAACCACAGAGCACTGGGCTTTCTTTTGTATCCATTAACGGAAGTTTGTTGTCTGGCTCCACAGTTTGAAGCTAGCTTTGAACTGCATTAAATGGTCAGTGCAGATGGGGCCCCACCCCTGTTTGGATAATACTACACAACTGATGTTTAAGATTATCCTGCACATTGTATATTAAACTACTGCCAGTATTAAGTTTTCTCGAAAGGATGTGCCTAGTATGTATTGGAAGGGAACTAAACTAGAGGCATTAATTGACTAGAAGAAGCAAGGACAAAGGAGAATACAAATCTGGACGCTGAGAAACAATATGCTGGGACTCATGCATGTTTACAAAAAGACTACACTCCTCACAATCCAAAATGGTCATCATCATAAAAAAATGGTCATCATGACAAGAGGGAGATGCATCTACTTTCATCTTTTGGCCAAAGAAGGAAATGCTGTTCCAGTGCTTACTTTCCTTTTCTGTTTTCACTCCTGTTTCGTTTTAGAAGTGGGTGGTTGGGCATACACACAGTGATACCCGATCATTATCCTCTGTACAATAAAACAGTGCTTGTTCCAAAGTTAAGTGGGTCTCACATCAGGGTTACAGAAGCAAACTCCAATTTGTTCCTGTCATCATGAAAGTACAATATCAGTTTAAAGTGCAAAATTACACAAGCTCAGAGTAATTGTTTGTTTATTATGGCTGGCAAACTGTTTTTCTTATTTATTTAGCTCTAACATACCTACAAATGTAGAAGCAGCTATAAATCAAGGAATTGCAGTGGGTGGTGGAAGATAAACATTAGTTCTGTGTTTCACAGCTTAAGTAATACAAGCAGATATAGACAGAAGAGCTCTGTAAAACCATTACATCTACAGTCTAAAATTACCTAGGCTGGATTCAGATTGTCTCCTTTGAACTGGATTATATGTGTCTACATTATCATATAATCCAGTTCAAAGCAGATAATCTGGATTTTATATGGAAGTGTAGATGAGGCCCTAGTTGCACAAGTTTTTTTTTTTTGTCGTGTCAGGAGTGACCTGAGAAACTGCAAGTCGCTTCTGGTGTGAGAGAATTGGCCGTCTGCAAGGACGTTGCCCAGGGGATGCCCGGATGATTTGATGTTTTATCATCCTTGTGAGATGCTTCACTCATGTCCCCGCATGAGGAGCTGCAGCTGATAGAGGGAGCTCATCTGCCTCTCCCCGGATTCAAACCTGCGACCTGTCGGTCTTCAGTCCTGCCGGCACAGGGGTTTAACCCACTGCACCACCAGGGGCTCCTAGTTGCACAAGTATAACTTGTAGCAGCTCTTCATACCATGGATTACACTAGTTGCACAAGTGTAATCCATGGTATGAAGAGCTGCTACAAGTTGAAAAAGTAGAAGAGGAAAATGAAGCTGCAACCATACTGCAGAAATAATGCAGTTTGACACCACTCTACTATGGCTCAATGTTATAGCATTCAGAGATTTGTACTTTGGCAAGACACCACCACTCTTGGGCAGAAGAGACTAAAGACTTTGTAAAACTGCAATTCCCACAATTATGTAACAGTTTAAAGTGGTGCTAAACTGCATTGATTCTACAGTGTAGATACGCTATGAGGTCACGTCTACACTGCCGTAGAATGCAGTTTAACTGCATTGAGCTGCATTATATGACAGTGTAGATTCACATGTGTTTACGTCAATGGGGCCTGAGATATCTGCAAAGACTCTCAGTTTTCCAATGGGATTCAAACAGCAATAGTTTAATGCAGTCGGGACTAGCAAAGTCAAAGCACTGGGGCTTTCAAATGTGTACTTCCTAAGGTTTCCCTATTCCCTGTGGAGTAGAGTGAATGGGTTCTCCTATAAACATTATAGGATCTCCATGCAGTCATGCTGGCCAGGTGGTGTCTATGGACAATGCCGGCTCTTCGGCTTACAAATGGAGATGAGCACCACACCCCAGAGTCGGACACGACTGGACTTAATGTAAAGGAAAAACCTTTACCTTTACTATAAACATTATATTGTTGTGAGCTATTGCTTTGTAACACAAAATATTGTGGAGTGTAATTAGAGTCCATTGACTTTAGGTAAGATTTGTTCCTGGGGCAGAAATAGCTCAAAATCACATGCTATTCCTTTTTAGGGTTGATCTTTTGACACTACACCGGATTGTACTTTCTTGGCTCTAGGTAGGCCTAATGATAGATTTAACCTGAAAACTGGAAGAACTGGTTTATTGATATGTGCCAACACAGCTGCCTTAAGAGTTTTGGACTCTTTGTGGGTGTGACCATGGGAACAGTTGTAATGACCACTTCTAAGCTGCCATTGCTGGAAGGCAAAGGGACCGATTCGGGTCAGGATTTGATACAACCTTCCATCAGACAGCACCAAACTCATAGGGGTTGTCTTAGTCTCTATGCCTATTCCCTTCAGTCAGCTGTTTCTGCCTTGATAGATTTGGTTCTATCAGGCACTCTCCATATTATAGTTCCTGTTTATCTCTTTGCACCTGTTCTTGAGCTCTAGAAGTGGACAATATTTGTTTTTCCTTGCTCTTGTCTAAGGAGAAATGCCTTGGAGAATATGGGTACTCCATAAACATGCCCTATATCTTCTGCCTAAAGTTTCTTCAAGCAGGGTAAACAGTAATTAGTGTACATTTTCATTTCCACTGTAATGTTCCCTTGACAGACATTCCTCTAAGGAGAAAATACACAGTTCAAAAGGAGCTATAAAAGCTAGTCTAAAACTGGATGGAGGAAAAATACTAGAAGAGTGCAATTCAAAACTGACACCACTCCACAGTCTTGCACCTTCCTGAAATGGGGCTTCTGTTAAGGTATAAAGAACAGTAATTTGGAATGAGGATGTGCCAGAGGCAAACCAGCTCTTTCCTTAATTTGTTTACTGCAACTAGAATATATTATACTCCATCCTTCTGTTGCAATAGCAACATTCAGAGTTGTTTATAAGATATTTATTTTACAATCAATTCACACAAATCAAATGAATGGTAGGTGACTTTTGGGTCAAAGTTGTCTGGGAGTAATGATAATATTTATTTATTTGATCAGTCATATGACCATTTCAAAATAAAACACGAGTAAAAAACAAGGCAACAAGGTGATAAGTCAGAATCTTATTTTCCTGGTTCTTCTTTCAGGAAATCTGCTCTTTTCTTAATAGCTTTCAGAATAAAAAGGCTTACTCTGATTATGCTGGATCTTTCCTGCCCTTGCAAGAGGGATGTCAGAATATCATTTCTGTTGGGGGTCCTGCAGTTGGATAATATTGGATGTAAATATCTGTCTCGCAGTTCGGTGTATGCTGGACAGTCAATTAAGAAATGTTCAATGTCTTCCACTGTTTGTTCTCCCCAGACGCAGAATCTCTCACTTCTTGGGATGTTACAGTAACGCCCGGTTTGCACCATAGTACCGAGTTGTTCAAACCTAATGTCTGGGAGTAGACTGCTTGTACTTACACAGGAGAGCAACTTGGAAATTACTCATTTGAATTATTCCTCCCAAAATCCCCACACATAGCAAGGCCACTATGACTGGAGGATAACAGTAGCTATACTCTCTCTCTCTCACACACACACACACAGGTAGTCACCACTTTATAAATTGGAACAGGTACATTTTTAAGTGGAACTCCAGCCACACACACACACACACCTTTGGATAGCATAGGGAAGGGTTAACACTTCCTTTTGATAGTATAGAGAAGGGTTAACCACTCTGTGGTGGTTGATTTGCTGTCTGTTCAGAAGATTTCACCTCAAAATCCCATTGGCTAGTAATAAATAATAAACAAGTGCTCAGCCATAGCTATACACCACTCTCCTCTTTGCCTCTTTGTCCCATTTGTTCGTCTTCTTGGCACACAGAACCCTGGTAACCAACAGAACATTCTGGAGGGATTTGTGAGGGGGACTGACACACCTGGTGGGAGTTATAGTTCACCCTGCATGCAGAGAGCACTCTGAAGGCCACCAATGATGGGTCTGGACCAAACTTGACACACAGAACCATGGTGACCAAAAGAACTTACTGCAGGGGTTGGGGGGGGGGGGAGGAAATGAATCACTCAGTGGGCGTTTCAGTTCACCCAATATCCACAGCATTCTGAAGTCCACCAATGACGGATCTGGACCACACTTGGTAGGCTGTTAGGAATTGTGGGAGCTGGAAGTCCAAAACACCTGGAGGGCCGAAGTTTGCCCATGCCTGCTGTAGATGAATGTAGTTGATCCCCCTTTAACTGCAATGGCTCAGTGCTATGGCATCATAACCTTTTTAAACTGGGCAGGGAAGAGCCAACTTAGACCCAGAGCTTGTCAAAAACTCCCACTCCCAGGATTCCCCAGCCAGCACTGAGCGAAAGCGGTGTTTAAGTGCATCCATTCCCCAGTGTAGATGCAGGCAGAATGGCCTTTCTCCTTGGAGCTCGGGGAGGGGGCCCTTGAAGGCAGCCCACGCTGAGGCTCCAGCAAAGGAGGGGATTCAGAGGAGGAGGAGGAGGAAGGCTCTGCGTCCAGAAGGAGCGGTGGGAGGGAAGAAAGGAAGGAAGCAAGCAAGCAAGGAAGGAAGGGGAAGAGCAAGAGCCGGGCGGCGGGAGGGGCCTCAGCCAACCAAGGCAGGAGCAGCAGCAGCAGGAGCAGCAGGAGAAGCAGCAGCGCGGTTTTGGGTCTCCCTCCGTCTTTCTCTCTCTCTCTGGCCTGCAAAGAGGGAGGAAAGGCTGCTTGCAGTGCGGAGGAAAAGCCAGGTGAGCTTCTGGAAGGGGGAAAGCCCCGAGGAGACGTGGACCTCGCTTTGCAACCTGCCCAGAGACACCTTTTTGGGGGAAGCAGCAGCAGGCAGAGCGACGCAGCTTGAAGGCGAAGCCACCGTGGTGCAATTGGGCCGGCGAGAAGCAAGCGAGAAAAGAAGCCAGCCCTTCTTTGGCTCCTGAAGCGAGTCCATCCCGCGCCTTCCCGCCTTCCTAGGGACTGCGTCGCTTGCGGCAAAGCGCCCGGTTGCTGGAGGTGGGTTTGTGCCGGAGGAGAAAGAAGGGAGCTGGCGGGGCTGGCAGGGTTTTAGCGGGGAAGAGATCTCTGGAGGATCCGAGGCTGATTCCCTTCCCTTTGGTGCCTTTGGAGGGAACCGGTCCCTGGGTGCATCTACGCTGTAGAATGAATGCACTTCGACACCGCTGCAACTGCCCTGGCTCAGTGCTCGAGAATCATTGCATTGTGATTTGACGGAGGGCTCTGCCCTGCCAAAAGAGTGCTGCTGCTGCTGCCACACCAAACTACAAGCCCCAGGATTCCATAGCATTGAGCCATGCGTGGCACTTAAAGCGGGGTCAAACTGCATCCATCCTGCAGTGTAGGTGCGACAGGAAAGATTCCTTGGCCTCCCCTTCTCCCTGGGTTTCCTTCTTGTTTTGGATCCAGATTGAACAGGTGTTGTTTGCATGCCATTGGTATTATGCTGCTTGGTTTCTGAGGGTGCATCTGCACTGTAGAATGGATGCAGTTGGACGCTGCTTTAACTTCCCTGGATCAATGCAATGGGATCCTGGGAGCTGTAGTTTTACTGCCCTCTCTACCAAAGAGTGCCAAACAATATTGTTTGCACACCATTGGTTCCAGAAGGTGCATCCACACTTCTGGATGCTATGTGATCTTGGGAGTTGTAGATTTTACAAGGCCTTCAGCCCTCTTCACCAAAGAGTACCAAACTACGTGTTTGCATGCCATTGGTATTATGTTGTATGGTTTCAGAGGGTGCATCTGTACTGTAGAATGGATGCAGTTGAACTCTGCTTTAACTTCCCTGGATCAATTCTATGGGATTCTGGAAGCGGGAGTTTTACAAGGTCTTCAGCCCTTTATACCAAAAAGTGCCAAACTATGTTGCTTGCATGCAGTTGGTAGGATGCTTTATGGTTTCAGAGGGTGCATCTGCACTGTAGGATGGATGCAGTTAGACACTGCTTTAACTTCACTGGCTCAATGCTATGTGATCCTGGGAGCTGGAGATTTACAAGATCTACAGCCCTCTTTACCAAAGAGTGCCAAACAATATTGTTTGCATGCCACTGGTTTCAGAGGGTGCATCTGCAGTGTAGAATAAATGCAGTTGGATGCTGCTTTAACTTCCCTGGCTCAGTGCTATGGGATCCTGGGAGCTGTAGTTTTAGAAGGTCTTCAGCCCTCTGTACCAAAGAGTGCCAAACAATATTGTTTGCATGCCATTGGTTTCAGAGGGTGTATCTGCACTGTAGAATGGACACTGCTTTAACTTCCCTGGCTCAGTGCTATGGGGTCCTGGGAGCTGTAGTTTTACAAGGTCTTCAGACTCAGGCCCCTTCCTTTTCCCCTTCAGCCACTTAAGCAGGTGAGGGGGAAAAGGGTAGGGCCTAATAATGTTAGGAATGGTGGGAGTTGAAGTCCAAAACACCTGGAGGGCAGATCTTTGCCCATGCCTGATCTACACTGTAGAATTACTGTGGTTTGATTCCACTTGCTATTGAATCAGAGCAGCTGTAGTTTTACAAACCCTTTAGCCTTCTCTGCCAAACATTGTTGGTGCCTCATTAAGTTCGAACTCACGCAATTCCAGGTATGTGAGCCATGACCAGTTCAGTGTTGTCAAAGTGCATTAGTTCTGTAGTGCAGATACATCCTAGGTCTCTTGGAGACCAGGGTTGAGAGAAGCAGGACAATAAGAGAAAGGCAATGGCAGTGTAGAAGCGCCCATGACCTCAGGTTGAAAATCTGGATGTGGGGGTGCCATCACACACACACATTCTCCCTTTTCTTATTCCTGATCCACTTTTGCAGGGCTCAGACCCATTTTCAGGCCCCCCCGACTTGTATGGCAGATGCAGCTAGTAATTACAGGGTGGCGGGAGGTTGTTGTGATGGGTGGTTTTGTGGCAGACAGTAAAATCAGTGCTCTGGAACAGTCATTCCGACACTTGCACATGCCACAATTTGTACTGTGGAAGCAGCAGACTCTCCCCCTCTAATCCCTCCTTGCCAAAAAGGAGCTTCCTGCTGAGTCCTTAACTGGCAAAGGACACTACAGGTGGTCTTGGCTTCCTGTAAGAAAAGGCATTTATTGCAAGTTCTTTCCCAACCCTCTCCCCAGTTTTCCCTTCTGATACACTCAAGCATCCCGTTGTGGGGAAGAGCAACAGTTAGAGCTCTGTTCAGGCTAGGCCGCCTGCCTTTATTCATGATCGACACTTTTTTAATAGTCTATATCAAACAAGGCTTAGATACACACTGGGACATCAGATGAAATGCTCTGTTCGATTGGTTTCCCAGAGGGATGAGTCTCTGCTCAGGACTAGATCTCCTCTCGTGCAATCATTCCTGATGTTCAGTAACACACATGTCAATGTGGAAAGATTTTCAGGATGATGTGTTGAAGGATCTGAAGGACTGTTATGAATATGGAAATGAACTATTTGTAAGTAAAAGAACACCTGCTAGAATTGTTTTGCATCTAAAATGTAAACAAATGCTCAGCTTTAGTGTAATTCATTATTTGGCACTACTTCATCTAGTCTCTTCCAGTAAATCAGTGGTTCCCAACCTTTTTTTGACCAGGGACCACTTTGATCAGGAATCACTTTGATCAGGGACCACTATGACCAGGGACCACTCTCCAGCATTAGTACCAAAGGAGTTATGAATCAGTTTTTGGTCAACTTTAGATTTGGTTTGGTTATTTGGGGTGCAGATTCAGAAAATTGCATTGGATAGACCACATCAGCTGTAGTTTCTGATACCAAACATATGCCATCCAGTAGTTTCCATCTACTGACGCACAGAAAACCATATTTAGTAATCCAGAGCTGATGTGCTGGTAGCAATCTTTTGTGGGTAGTCAGCCTCTCCCTTCCTGACATCCCCGTTGCCTCGGCACCTTAAGAGGGTTTCACGAGACCAGTCGTTTTTGTTACCACGTGGTTTCAAGGCAACAGTTTAGTAATAGTAAGGCCGAGGACCATATTTTCATTCTTGTGGACCACTGGTGACTTTTCTGGGCTGTATGGCTGTGTTCAGAAACATTCTCTCCTGACGTTTTGCCCCCATCTATGGCAGGCATCCTCAGAGGTTGTGAGGTCTGTTGGAAACTAGGCAAGTGAGGTTTATATATCTGTGGAATGTCCAGGGTGGGGGAAAGAACCCACAGACCTCAGGTTGGGAAACACTGCACTAAATAGTAAGAATAAGGAAGGAAAAGGGAGTAGGAAAATGATAATAATAATAAATAAAGCTTTATTTATATCCCTCCCCCTCTCCCCAAAGGGACTTGGGGTGATCTAAAATTCTAGAAGAATTTTACTTATGTTTATAAGTAAAATGGACGCTGCACTTGATATCAATTCCAAAGAAATACATTTATGCTATTTGTGGACTGTGGCCAGTACATCCAGTGCTCATGACTGGGCTTTGAAGCATGGAGAAATGCTGAAGCCATTACACAGATGGGTTTTAATTTTTTTTCAATATTCTGCTGCCCATAGAGGAAGTTTTTTTTGCTAGAAATCATGATCTTTGCCTTGCATTATCCCAAGGTTATTTGCTTAAAATAGTTTTGTTTCCTGGAACCAGCGTATATTGGTACAGGAGAGCTTTCTGTTTTACTGTATGCAAAACACACCTTGGTATATTTACTGTGCTTATCTTATTTTTTTTCCCATTTGAAGTAGTTGCATTATGTCACCTGAAGAAAGTGTCAGTCACCGCTACCTCTTGAAAAAAGTTAAGATTTTTTTTTGTGGGGGGGGGAGTTGTGTCAAGTGTATTTCATATGAATCCCAAAATGGTAAGTGCGAAAGGCACTTTAAGAAGTTTGTCAGGAATTCTTCACCATGGGAGTGACTCATTGGACTGGTTTGGGTGTTGCGCTAAACCACAGTTTAGAGATGCGAGAATAAGTTCAGTTCCCCCAAGGACTTCTCTTCTCCCTGCAGTCCTTTCCTTCAGCATGGCTTTGAGTGTTGTGGTTAGAAGCTTTTCCTTCCATTTCATATTAACTGAAGCTTGCTGTGCCAGCTGAACCGCATAGGAATATTCTCGATATTCTTAACTATGATTAGTGAAAATTAAGCAACTTGAAAACAGCTTGTGAAGTTGGCTTGCTTTCACCAACCACTATTACCTTAGTTGTTGTTAAGTTTAACTGCAGGGTAAGATGTAGGCAATGTACTAAACTGTGGTTAATATAAAATGGAAGCAGAACGTTCTGTTTTCATGGCTGAAAAGAGAAGTAGAAGGTGTGCAAGCCCAAAGGGGGATTGGATGCATAACATCGTAATATATCCTTATGTCTTATCTGAATGCCATTACTCAGTGTAGAATCTGCAGTGTATTTCCACTGGATCCCCACTGCATTCACTAGAATCCTAAAGAGAGCAGAAATGGAAGAAAGTCAGATTTAATGTGTTATCGAAGGCTTTCATGGCCAGAATCACTGTGAGTTTTCCAGGCTGTATGTTCCAGAAGCATTCTCTCCTGATTCATATTGGCCACAAACAGCTGGATCATGTGCTCAATATTTACAGAACGGCCTTGAGGTGGTTGTGTGCATTCAAGTTGTTTTTTTTATTTATGGGAACCTGAAATTTAACCTGTCATGTGGTGTTCTTGGCAATAATTATTTGGAGGTTATTTTCCATTGCTTCTTCCGAGGCTGAGGCCTCATCTACAGTGAACATTTAAGACAGTGTGAAGCTAGCATCAGACAGCGATGCCAGATAACAAACTCCCAGAAAACTGTGCAAAAGAAAGCCCTTAATGCTCTGTGGTTTATGTCATCGCCATCTGGGTCTCAAACTGGTTCCAGGATTTGCTATGTAATCCTCTACATTGGGAAACTACTTTCTTAAATACTGGTTTTAAACTGCATTAAATGTTCAGTGTAGATGGGTCCTAAGAGAGTGTGACTTTCAAAACCCAGTTCGAAACTGTTGTCGAAGGCTTGCATGGCTGGAATCACTGGGTTGCTGTGAGTTTTCTGGGCT